ACGCTTCATCTTAAATATGCAGTGATTTAATCCACAAATGCTTTTTCTATTTGGATCAGGTCTTTTTAAAATATGTCTTGTGAGGAAAACACAACTTATATAATTTATATTGAAAATAGCATCATAAATACCAAAAGTTTAAAAAGTAAGAGAATAAACTGGACTGTCTGGAAACAGCTTTAAAACTTCACATTACGTGTTTGACACATGAAGGAAAACATGTAAAAAATAAAGTGGACACAGACGACGAGGCACACGATTTAAATTAAAATTGAACAAACTGCATCAACACCTTTAAATGTCCTCAAATGTCAACTGGAAGACAAATCAGCAGGTCCCTGCAGATGAGCTTTAAATAGTCGCATGGTTTAAAAGTAGTTTCGGACACAAACTGCAGGAGACATATGTAGATTTTTGATGCCGCACATGTGAGATTTCTAATTTTAACACGTCAACAAGGACGTTTACAGCAACATATATATAAACCTGATATTAATACGTCAACATCTGAAGTCAACGTCCAACCGGCTCCATAAAAAATGTCACTTAAAATCTATATTTGATCAGTAAATGAATTTTTTTTTCACTTTTCTTAACTCTACCAATTCTAAAAGATGTTCAGTCCTAAATGAACAGTTATCACTTCAACACATTTAACACATATATCCACTATATGTTGACTTTCAGTTATGTAGAACAGGAAAAGATGAGAAAAGAGAAACGCGTCTTAATTTAAAAAGAGAAGAAGAAGGAGGGATATGTGGATTTAAAACAGGAGCAGCTAAAGAAGAGAGGAAGTTTGTCTCCTCTCTGCAGGTTCACAGGATTTCATCACACTGCTGCTGCTGCTGCTGCTTTTACACACTTGTACATAACTTCGATGATTAGCTCTCTACATGTGTTAAGGCCCTTTGGGAACTATGTCGAGGATGCTGATATGTCCCTTCTGCTCCACTAATAGAGGGCATTGAAACATAACACCGGACAAAGCCGGGGCCCATTTCTGACCATAAAAAAGGTTTATTCAAGCAAATAATGGGATCCGAGGCTGCGCGGCTTGTGCAGAGAATAAGAGGCCGGTAAACTTCCCCACATGGAGCCGCTCTCCGGGGCTGTTAAGCTTTTAATTGGAAAATAGCAGAGGAAATTTCAAGGTGACTAGAGAGGCTCTGCAGTTTGTGCCGGCCGAGTAGATTTGTGAGAGTGGGAGGCAGCGGCTGAACGCGTAATAAATTTATTCATGTTGTTCGTTGATAAAGAGTCAAACACAAACTGGAATAAAAGTTTATACTGCAGCTGCAGGGTAAACGGCACGAGGCCCGATGTTCGATTGTGACACCAGTTAAATGTCCTGAGCTCACATCTGCATTTCATAACACCAGCATTTTAATGTGTTCTTCATTAGATCCGGTGATGATGTGAGTTAGAAGGACGATATGAGAGAATCACATTCGACCTGTGAGGGAACACAAGTCTCTTAAAATGAGATTCAATATAATAAAATGGGATCAAATGTGTAAAAACTCTTATAAATTCTTAAATTATTGTGGCACTTCAAACATGTAAACCTGAATTTGCCTCATCCTGAACTAACATTTTTCAATTTGCACTCTGAGCATATAAATAAAAGATGTCCTTTTTTTTAAATGTCATTTCATGTATTTTGCAGATAAAAACAAGTGGAAACTTAGAAAACAGAAAAACAGCTGAAGTGGAAAAGCTCAAGATTCGATTTGCAAACGAAATTTTACTAAAAAATGAAACTAAAAGAGTTTAAAGTCCACTGAAGAGAAAAAAACATTTAATATGTGAATGAGCCGACTAACTTACTACAAATTGTTCTTATTTAATACTGTATATTAAATATAGAAAAGAAATATATTTATATATTTAACCAGTCTTCATTATTTGTCACATGACTGTTGATCACAGAAACTTGTTTTCTGTTAAATTGATAAAACAGCAGTGAAATAATAATATTCCACTTTCACCCTGTTCAGTGTTTTTAACACAGACTGAATGAGTTTGTTGTGAACTAAACGTGACTGACGACTGTTCAACACTTTATCACAACTCATCCCAGACTTCTGTTGAGATTTGAAGTTAATCTCATGTTATTTTCAAAGTCAGCGGAAGATTCGTGAACATTTGTGCAAAACTTCGTGAAACTGATATTTTAGTTTGAACACGGACACTTCCTAAACGTTGAAAAAGTTTTTCTCCCAAATCAGGAAAAAAGATTCAGCACAATGTCGAAGCACGTGAAGGTTTTCATGATCGTTAACTGACACCAGGTCAGCGTACGATGGAGCATGTGCTCCAGAGGAAGCTCCTGCTGCAGGCCTGCGCTCAGAGGGCGGAGCTGACCTCTGCTGAGCGGGGTTATTATCATCTGCTGCTGATTGGGGGCGTCGCTGCCACACACAAGCGCTGTCACAGAAACGCTGATTTAAGTCTCCCCGGGGAGGCGGGGCCCCGAGCTCCTCCAGAGGAATTAACCAGACATGTGAATCAGTGCGACATCGCTCAGACGTCAGCCACCAGGGAACAGAGTCTGTGATGGGTTCTAGGCTCCGGGACTCTATTTTCTTATTTCAAGTCCCTTTAATCAGTCTCCATCCTTTCTGTCTATTGGGTGTGTTTATCGTTTTGTGTGTTAAGTCAAGTTGTTCTGATTTTAATTGATTTAACCGACTCTGGTTTCCTACATGAAACTTTTTGTTTCCTCTTCTTCATCCAAACGTATCAAGATCGACCCACTTCAGATAGAATTCTTCCTCTTTAATAAAATAATATAAGTGCCGCCGTCTGAGTCACGGACTAAATAAAGATGGAGGACAAGACAGCTCACGAAAAAGTGGAGCCAAAACATCTTGGCTGCCTCCTGGTGGCTGGCTGCAGTACAGGTCATAAACCTGCCTCCTCCGTGTTCACAAATTGGACCTTGTTTCTGTGATCTAGTTTTTTTGTTCTTATCACACTGATGCATGTTCACGTTCGTTATTTGAGACGATAATAAACGTGGAGTAATGATTGACGGCTGAGACTCACTTGCGATTGGTCGAGAGCGCGTATTAGCGTCGCTTCAATAGCGCGGCTCCTCACCGCGATCGCTACTCTGCAGACTCTGGCTCAACATGGCAGCACCCGTATCTACGGATGGAGGAAGTGGACACGAGTCATCCATCTTTTTATACAGTCTATGATCTGAGTGTATAACACGGATGATTTTTTTTTTTGAAAAAGTCGAACGCAATTTATTTTTTTATTAATTTCCATTTCCATTTCTGAACTTGTAAATATAATCTAACTCATATTCTCAGGGGAACTTGTGGAGCAGAGATCCTGGACTCTCGGAGCAGGTGTAAAGACAAACGATGGGTAACATCCTCAGATCAGTCGTGGATGCACTTGGTTTAGTCTTTAGTCTATTTCACCCGTTTATTGGTGCTTGGCTCTCAGGGCTGGACGTTTACAACCAGAGCTCCGTCTGTCCTTCAAACTGTTCTGTCATCCTCCAACACACACAGAGACAGACTATCAACTGAGTCCACACAGAGACAGACTATCAACTGAGTCCACA